ATTTGCATTTAAAATTGCTTGAACTTGCTTTTTGATTATTTCAGTTTCAAATTTTTTTGATTCTATTTGATCATTTACATCTCTTAACCAGTTTTTACTTTCTTTATCTAATACTCTATAAGTATATATTACAAATTTTATAATTTTTTCAATTTCTTTTTCTAAAAAATTATAAATAAATATGATAAAAATATCTTCTGCATAGCTTTATCTTCATTTTTTGCTTCTAATATTATACTGGTCAAATCAATTATATTAGTTTCTGTTGCAATTCAAATTTATTTTATCATATTATATGATGTTTCTTATTATCTGAAAACAGAATTTGCTATGATACTTTGATATTTAACTTTAAAAATTTGCCTTTATGAATAGACAATTTTTAAACAGATTGCAATTATATATTATTCAATGTTATAATTTGTTGAGTTATTATTTCTTTTGATTTAGTAAAATCTATCTTATAATAAGTTTGGATTTGAAGACTTGAATCAGCTTTGGAATTAATTTTTTGTTGTATTATTGAAAATGATTATATAGAAGATTTGCTTCCTTAATTTCAAGTTTATCAAAGAATCTTTATTCTTTATACTTTTTTTATTTATTATAGGTTAGAAATATATATATAGATCCAGTTGTAATAATTCATTATAAAAGCTTTAGTTTTAATTAAATTTTTTGGCTAACCATAATTCTTATTATCTAATTCTTTAATATTTTTTTATAATTACAATTTTATCTGACCTTTTGATATTAGGATCCTAAGATTGCAGATTTAAATTTATTATAGATTAAGTATTACAAAATAGTTGTAATAAAGTTAAACATAATCTATTTTGTATTAGATTCATATTTTATTAAGATTTTTTGTTTTTCAGTTTTACTTATTATATTTTTCAATATTTTCATTATATATCAATTGTTCAAATCTTTTGTTTATATTTATTTTACTTATATATTCTATCTATTTACAAGTTTATATTCAGATAAATATAATTAACTAATTATTATATCCTATAATAGTTTAATTAATTCCTATTATTTCAGATATAATTTCTACTTTGAAAACATTATATATACATTTAACTGTTTACTAGTCAATAAAAAGTTAAACAAATAATAAAAGTATCAATTCTATACTAATATCTAATAGTAGTTTTCTATCTATATTTATAATATAGTAGGCAATTGAATTGATATATAGAATTATATCTAATTTAACTTTATATTATTTTACCTGATCCCTGATAACTATTGAAGTTTTAATTCTTTCTTACAATCTTATTTGATTATTGATTGGTTTAAATACAGACTTAATAGAATTCTTTTTTACCAATATATATCTATTCTAGAATATCTTTAAGAAGTAAATACAGATTATACAAAAAGATTTGAAATTTGCTTATATTACAAATTCAAATTATATATAAAACAATTTAAATAACATAATAAAAAAGAAATTATAATATAATATTGCAAATATATTACTATATATATGTATAAAATAAAATAAAATCAAGGTTTTAAAACAGTACAAATTTAAAACCAATCTAGTTTCTGTAATATAAATAAATAAATTTTTTTTCAAAAAATAATTTTATAGTAAATATTTTAATTTTTATTATCAAAATATTTATCCAAAGCAAATTCAATTATTTTAATCTTATTTTAAATTATTATAATTTAATTTTTTTCAATTATAAGTAGATATTCATAGTTGCTTAATATTATTTAATAATTATATTAGTTTAAATTTTTTTTCTAATATAAGTTAAATAATTGCTATAGATAAGCTAACATTTAAATTATTGTAAATTACATATGAAAAATATTGTTTATTCTAAAATATATATTATATAATAAATAAATAAATAATAATGTTTTTTTTCTTAAAAAAATTAATAAAATATAATTTATATAATATTTCAAAACATTTTGTTGAAATATAATTGTATACAAAATATAAATAATAATAAAAAGATAATAAATATGAAATATAACAATAATAAATAATAATATTAATAAATGTATAGCATATTAAATGTATCAATTCTGTTATCCAAATATAATACATAAGAAATTAATTAATAAGTACTATATCTCAGTATTTTATATTAGTAATATATATTTCAAAATTATATAATAATTATAAAGTGCAGGATAAATAATTTTTGTTACAATTTTTAAACACAATATCAAGAAAAACTTTTCTTATATTTTAGCAAAAATAATATTTGGTCTTACAAAAAACTATAATTTAGCAAATTTTATATTTATAATCTTTTTTTTTCTTTAATTTCTTATTTACAGTATATTATCTCTAAATTAAATAACTTAAAGCTTTCATCTAATACTTACCTGAAATAAATTGACTCATTAAAAAAACTCTTTAGAATCACATTTTAATTATTTAAAACTGAAAATAATCTCCATAAAAATAAATTAATCAAAAAATCATCCAAATGAATCTTTTACTTTCAAAAAAATCTAAAATTATAATATAATAAAGTCTCAATCAAAAATCCTCAATCCACTTATAAAAAAATTATCACAAACCTCCTGGTTATCTATCAAACTTTAATCAAAATCTTTTGTAAAGAACCAAAATAAAAACATTCTATCCAAATAGTAAAACATTATCAATAGTTCTATTAATATCAATTTATTAATCTATACTATACTAATAATACCAATATTCCAATATAAAATCTTTGAAATCATCAACAAACTTCCTAATAATATAGCAACTGGTTTCTTTAAAATCAACTATTTCTTTATCAAAAAATTTTAATTACTCTTATTCCTATACTTCGAGACTTGTTCAATGACATTCTCCTGATACAAGAAATCTCAGTTGATTAAAAAAACTATCACATATTTTCATTAGCAAAAAACTTCAATGGAAATACAACATTCTGAAAATAAAATCAAATCCGCAATAGATCCTAAAAATCAAGCTGAAGTTAAAACAACAGTAGAAAGTTTTGGCCGTGCCAGCTCCGCTGAAAATCATGTGGAACGAAAAGCAAAAAATGAGCTTAAATACCTCAAAGATACCATCATAGATCTGGAACACGGAATGAGAATGTTCCATAAAAAAAATAGAGCATATTGTCAAGCAGTGTCGCTATATCAGTATATACAGAAATTTATAATAATGATAATAGCGATACATCGGATTCAAATTGTTCCGATACTTTACCCAGTAATGTACCAATAAAAAAGATCCACAAGTCTAAAAAGAAGCGTGTAATGAATATGTAATCCTGATTATTCTATTATAAGCGACTATAGCAAATGAATAAAAATTCAATCTGTGACCGCGAAATCACATCACATTATAATGGGCCTCAGGGGAGCGATTTCATGTGTTTTAAATCCGCGAATCAGATATCAACGTAGAAATTCGTGGACATACATATCCAATCGATGGCGCAGTAATGACGTTTTCGGCGACGAGCCGTCGCTAAAAGTTTGGTTATGTGTTTGCTTATACTGTATAAAGTTATCATTGTCCGGAGGGCATATTTTTATGTGAAAATTTGATCAGTCACGGAATCTGGTCACGACTTGTGATTTGTAATTTATCTATTTGTTTACTCTCTCCCAACAAAAGTATGGTTTCGATGGCAAGTACACGTTTTTCTGAAACTGACGCGACTTTCTACATTTATTTACCAATACAATATCAAATTTTAGTCTTTAAGTCATATTTCACGTGACATAAATTAGAACGTTATCCGTTCGTTGAACGTTGACTTTGTAGCCAGATCATTTACTCAAACAAGTGACCTTCTGCAACTGGAGGGTACATGGGCAAAGCGTTTCGATTTAACTGCAAAGATATTGAATATTAAGGAAAGTATAACTATCATTTTCTCCGTGTAGGGCATTCGTGTCAAAAAATATCATCTCGTTCTAGTAATGTTGTCGGGAGCTTCAGTCAGGTTACTGACTGCGGTTGTTATATTCCCAACATTGCGGACATAGTTGTGTTGTGGGAGCTTCAGTCGGGTTTACTGATTGCGGTTATTACATTCCCAACACTCATCCCATTAATGTGTACCTCATCTCTCACCTCAATAAGTATGCTCTAGAAATTTTTAAATTATAAAAATACAGGTGTTAGAAAAAGCATATTGGTCTTGTATCATCGAAAGATGGCATATGGTAGGTTACAAAACTTATGGGCTTGTTTCTCTCAATCAATATCACTGTGATTTAATA